AGACTCTAAAGAGTTTCTCTCTCAACAATCAGGCAGCAAATCAGTTCAAATAGGGCAGTACAGCAGAAGGGGATTACACCGTGACTGCAGCCTACGATCAGTCAAGATCACTTAATAAATTGAATGACCACTGGCCATATAAGCTAATTTGGAAAACCAAGCTACCACCCAAGATCATCTGTTTTTGCTGGACTGCACTTTATGAAGCATGCAATACTCAAGACAACCTCTATAAAATGAAACACATCATTGTGAATGGATGCTACTTATGTCAGAAAGAAGCAGATAGCACTAGACACCTTTTTTGCATTGTACTGCAACAACAAATCTGTGTAATATGTTTCTCTTTTTTTGGACTCAGTTGGGTCATGCCACATAGTATCAAATAAGCTTATCAGAGTTGGTGTTGCTGGAAAGTTGATAGCACCATCAAACAGACTTGGAAGATGATATCTGCAGCAATTTTTTGGAGTATTCGTAGGGAAAGGAATAGAAGATGTTTTGAAGGTCTATCATCTCCTTTACATTCTCTCAAAGTGGAATGCCTTATGTGTCTGAACAGTTGGGTCAATTTGTCCACTTTAGATTCCATGGATAACTTTTTGGCTCCTTAGTTTTAGCATAATTGTACTAGAGCCAGCAGACCAACTGTTTTTACTTCTACTTTTGTAACTAATTTGCATCTTCTTGATGCCTTCAATGGAATATTTACTTTATCAAAAAAATAATAATTTGATATTGGAAAAAAGATTATATGGACATTTAGGTGCAAAAAAGTATGGAATACAGAGGGTAAGCTATACCTGTCCCTTTTTCTATAATCTAGTTATCTGGACAGCAAAAGGCGACAAGGGTTTGCCTCGCGTCGCATTAAAGCGCCAATTAATACTAAAAGTTTAAAATATTTAATTGCATATATAAATATCCAAAACCTCAATAGTAATAATAACATACATTAGCAAATATTTCAATTCAAAATATACAGTAGATATCACAAGTCTAAAACTTGTATGACTCAATCATTCATAAGATAATTGAGAAGCAACTAGAACTCTAAAAGCGATACTCTAATGTCCTTTTTGTTACCATCAAACACCATTGAATTCACTTTATATGGACAAATAAATATTATATTAATTAGTATAAAACTGTATTGAGTAGGGAAGAAATAAAAATATGGAAGAATGAATTCTTTTCTTAAAAAATATAGGCAGAAACAAAATGGCATGGCAGTTAGTTCAGTAGCTACAAATTGAAAAAGAAAAGCAGAGCCTTGCACCATTGCTTGAAAAATAAGAATAGAAGAAGTGAGGAAGAACATAAAAAGAAGAGAGCTGAAGAAGAATAAAAAAGAAAAAAGAATGAACCTGAGAGAGTCGCGATTTGCGACACAAAGGTCTGAGCAGCAGCGAAGATCCCGTCCTCTCGAAGGCTAGAGAGTCGCGATGGAAGTGGAGAAGAGATCGTTTAGGTCGCAATAGAGAGAAGAGGGGCCAGGTAAGCAAAAACACCCCCAAAAACCCTAATTTTGCTTTTTAAATATTAAATCACACTTTTTTTTAAAAAAAAGGTGACGCATGTCGCCTCTCGCCTTTCAGTCGCAATTGCTCGCCTTCCTGAAATCTCATCGCCACACCTATAATAGGCGACGAGGCCACGCCTCGCCTCTTGCCTTTGGCGACATGGTGAGCGCCTTTATAACCCTGCTATAATCTTTGATCAATTAGTCTTTGTAACCGTAGAAAGAATAGAAGGGGAAGCAAGAGTAGGGAGAGTATTTTTGTTACTAGAAATATGGTTAGAAGCACCAAAATCAAGATTATTTGGTTCCTGAGATGAAGACTGTGCGACATAAGCAAAAAAATCACTTGGTTGCATTGTGCAAGCAACTTATGAAGTTGATGACTGTTGTCTTGATGCTTGGTACTGAAGATGGTCATTATAGTTTGCTCCAATTGAAGTGATAGATTGAGATGATTTATCCCTAACATCAAGTGTGGGAAAAATACCAGCTCCATTATGAACCACATTTGTTATATGTCGAGGGCGATCCTTATTGTTTGGAGGCTTACCCAGAAGAAGCCTACATTGTTCTTCTTACATTCCCTCCCTTATTACATAGAGGGTAATGTAAGAGAAGTTGATATTCCTCTCTTACATATCGCTTACTTACTACAATGAGTGCAATATTTGTTGTTCCTTCATTTTCTTTTTTATATCCACTTTAAAAATTATCAGTTTGAGCAACCAAGATAGATGCATCATAGGAATTTACGTCTAGTGGTGGAAATTTGATGCACAATAGTCTAGAAAATACTTCTTCCAAGGTAAAACCAGATGGACTAGAAAGGATCTAGTCACAAACTGAGGTGAGATCTTCTCACAACCCTATTAAAATAGGAATAAGAATTACAATTCTATTTATAATTGGAATAGGAATAGGAATAGGAATTACAATAGGAAATAGGAGTCCTATTTAGAAAAGGATTTTAATATAGTCTCTATAAATAAGGTCTCAATGTAATAATGTATGGTAGAACATGAATAGGTTTATATAATCCTATTAGAATAGGAATAGGTTTATACAATCTTATTAGAATAGGAATTGATTTATACAATCTTATTAGAATAGGAATAGGTTTATACAATTCTGTTTAGAATAGATACAAGAATAGAAATAAAATAGGAATAGTAAATAGTATCTACTTGTAAAGGATTGTATTGTAGTGTCTATAAATGTGGTCTCAATGTAATAATGTAGACACAAGAACAATTCAATAATATTGTTTTCTTATATTTCTCACATGACATCAAAGCCTCTATCATCTTGGTAAACAATCAAAGAGCTTCCGCTGCCGGCGGGCAGCTATCACCCATATATGTCGCCCGTCTTGGCAACGATTATGTTCGCAAAACTTGTAGCATTCGGTGACTACTTTTTCATGTTTAAATTGTGTAGCATCGTGCCATCTTTCCTGTGACTACTTTTTCGTAATTATTTTGTGTAGAACCATGACATCATTCTGGCGACTACTTTTTCATATTTAATTTGTGTAGCACCGTGCCATTATTTCAGTGACTACTTTCTCATATCTGATTTGTGTAACATCGTGCCATCATTTCGATGACTACTTTTTCATATCGTATACGTGTAAGCATTTTGCGATCTTTTTGGTGACTACTTTTTCATATTTTATTTGTGTAGGACCATGCCATCCTTTCAGTGACTACCTTTTTTTGCATATTTGGTTTGCGTGGAATCATGTGTCTCTCTAGACTGCTTTTCATATTTTATTTGCGTAGTACCGTGGATTTTTTTGACCTACTTTCTTATATTTGAGTTGCATAGCACCCTGTGACTTTTCAGTGACTCCTTAAATTTGTTTGCATAGTTCCATTCGTCTTTCCGATGACTCCTCAAATCTAATTTGCATAGGTTGTGCCATCATTCTGACCCGATCCATATAATTTCTCTTTTTTCAGTAGGGTTGCGCCATCATTCTGACCCTACCCATATTATGTCTCTGTTTTAATAGCAGTGCCCCGTTAATTCGACCTTTACAATATAATTTCTCTTTTCTAGTTGGGTCGTGCCATCATTCCAATTCTATCCATATAATTTTATTTCTTAGATTATGACCACTTTCAGCCATCAAATCTAATACTCGGGCGTATGAGCATATTTTGACCAATTTTTCAGTGAGTTTCTTGTTTAATATCGACTCATCTATTGATTTCAACATGATCCATATACTTTGTACTAGATTTTGAGCACTTTATTGCTCAGGGGGAGTTTAGTAGCGTTGTATTGTCGATTATGTAAGTTACTCTATGGTTTGAAACAGTCTTTGCAAGTTTGGTTTGGGAAGTTCAACATTGTAATTTCACCTCTGTGTTTTATGGACATTATGCATCAAATTCAATATTTCATGAGAAGATTTAACACATTGAGATTGACTGACATTATTCATCAAATCCAGTATTTAATGAGAAGACAAGCACATTGAAATTGATTGTCAATTTTTTGAAGTCGTCTGATCAACTTTCAATAATCTCACCAAGTCCCTCATCGGTCCTCATATTAATTACATTTGTAACAAGTTAGGTACATGAATTGTATGCACTAGTTTGAGGGGGAGTGTTAGAACATGAATAGGTTTATACAATCCTATTAGAATAGGAATAGGTTTATACATTTCTATTAAGAATATTAATTGTAAATAGTATCCTTCTTGGTAAAGAATTATATTTTAGGGTTTATAAATATGGTCTCAATGTAATAATGTTGACGAAACAACAATTCAATAGTATTCTTTTCCTATATTATTCACGATTTCAATAATATTTTCTGCTTTATTTCTCACAAACCCAATCATAGCCAAAACCATAAAGAACCTTTTAGCTTTGTGTGTCCAGAATCCTGATAATCCGATTTGCCAGTAAAAGGCATAAGAGAATCAAATTTATCCTTCAGGGATTCTACCTGACCCAAATAACTTGCCATGTCTTGTTGATTCTGTTGTAGATGAACAATATCTGACACAACTTTGTATAAGTTGTATCACATTTGTGTACAAAGTTTTGACTTTGTCCCACACTTTGCAACAAGTCCTAAAAGACCGGAACAAATTTTACAACTTAAGATCAATTGAATTTCTCAGAAGACTACACTATTATGCATCCTTTTTAATCCAAGTCAGCCTTTTAGTTGATGCCACGTCACTAGAATTTTTGATGAAGTGATCATCATATTCTTGACCTATAAATCATAACTCTCCAAATTAGCTTATAAAAAATAATTGCCACTACGATCTAGTTTTGTTGTACTAATTGTAGGTGATAGTTTGGAAGAGAATGTTGGCCCTCTCATTGATCGCTTGAACTGCTTTATGAGATGGGACCGGGACCAAATGAGCTCTTTTTATCTATATATGATCTTACTTGGTTCCCTTAAATATTTAAGTGTTGAGAACCTCATGATTTTCTAATACACTTCACAGGATGCTCATGAAGAATCAAAGGCTGTCACTAAAGCTACTGCTATGAAAGGTAATCCATTTTCTTGTGGTTATGCTGCTGTGGCATGTGCTGGAAAAAATTAATTTGCATGACTGATATGTTATTTTCTTGTATATAGTAGATTTCCTATATGCTAGTTCAGCAAAGGGTGGAGTAAGAAGCCCTTAATATGATCACTGAGTTATACTACAAATATTTTTCCACTTGATAGTTGAAAAGTTATAGATGGTTTAGTTTATAAAGGAGGAAAGGGTGAAGAAAACGATCCTCCAAACCTCTGTCAGGCCACTAGGAGAGATGTCAGGCCACTAGGAGACACGTCAGAAGCTTTAGCTTGCTGGAATATAGAAGGAAATATGTCAGGCGACAAAGAGAGATGGTAGATTGTCCTTTGCTTGTATTTGATGGATAATTCGGAAGGAAAGGAACCAAAGATGCTTTGAAAACAAGAGCATCCTTTTCCAAAGCATGAAAGGGAACTGCCTGGTAACCTTTTATTTTTGGTGTAACTGCGTCCTCCCCAAAAGGTGGAGGATACTGTAACTGTTTTGACAGTTCAGGAGGGTTGTAGATGATAGAATCTTTTGGTTTTGCTCCCTCTGTATCACTAATGTAATTAGTACTGAAATACACGCTTGGGTATTTCTTTGTTTATAAAATGTTAACTTCCTATTAAAAAAGATGAATGTTTCTTCTTTTCTCTTTTTGCTATAACCATCTGGTGTTCGGAACTCATTGATCCGACTAACCTAGATTGTGTAAAAGTATCCCAGGGCTCGAACCTGTGATTAATGTGGAAGAACCCTTTGAAAATGCAACAAAAAACTTTTCTCCCAAGCTCACTAATCTAGACAATGGCCTAAGACACTTCTGAATTCTGTTCCTTCTCCTATGATTCTTCTAATCACTGTGATGAACCCTTCTTCCTTTCTTCTTCTCTCTTCTCCCTTCCCCTTCTTTTTCTCTCACCTCTTTCTATAGACATCGTAACACAGTACTCAAGGTCACAAGTGAACCCAAGCTAACCCATGGTCTGGCATGACACTTAGATGTATATAAATAATAACCGAAGGTAACTGATCGGAAGCTAGAACTGAGATATATGAGAAGTTTCAAAATATAAAACTTAATACTAAAAAGGTGAGTTCATCTGACACAAAATAAACCTGATACTATGATCTGACTGTCGGTCTGAAAGCCTCTACTAAGATGAGTTGCTGGAAGCTTTGGACAAGCCCCCAACTAAGCCTAACCATTTGAAAACTAAAAGAACTAAATTTCTGAAATAAATATGAGTGTTGTCCTTGAAAGATGAGTACTCACCGAACACTGCAGGTGAGATGATACAAAATCATACGAACCACGAGCTGGATACTGGGAGTCAGAACCTATATTATAAGACAATGTAGCACAAAGAGTATGTGAGACATTCGTCACAATGCTGAAAACTGTACATGATAAATCTGAGATGTCGAACTGAATCAACATGCAACTAATAGGTAGTGTGCCGAAATAATTAGTTATAAAGCCATTGCATTAAACTAAAAACTGGTTGTACTGTGGGAGATATTAATAACCGACAACCTTTCTTTGAGCTAAATAAAGTCCAGTCATTACCCCGGCTGGGAGGGCGCTCTATACCTTGCTAGGTAAGAGACACTGTCACATGTGGATCCACTAAGCTGATGTCCAAAAAGTACTAAGCAGTCAGTCCTGATCTGATGAATGACCCTTAAATATGTTGGTGTTGACACCTATGTAGTCAAAGGTGCACTTTAAGTGCGCTTAAGCCCTGAAGCGAGGCTTAAAATGTGTTCAGCGCTTCGCCTCGCTTTATGTGCGCTTCAGTGTCATCTTCAAGGTTCTAAGCAAACTGTTCCTTACCACTGAGCCTCTTCCAAAGAAATGACACTAAACAATTGATATTTCACTTTATCATAATTTTTGTTTTCAATTTCTTTGATCATATATTTGTCATTCATGTTTATAATTATTCGTCTTGAACTAAACAAGCCCATGCTTTATTTGTGCTTTGTGCTTAAAGCCCCAACGGACCTTAGATTTTTTTTTAGCTTTTCGCCTTTGATAACACACTTGACATTTTCAATGACTAGGTGGTGCCCAAGATGCTATGAGCTAGATAATAAACCATCTTTTTCGAAAATTACAGGAGAATAAGTCATCTTCCATGAAAAGTATAGGATTTTCCACATATTGAGAATTGAGATGCCAGTAAATAACAAGACTATGTGATGGCACACTTATCTCCCGTTGTTGTGTGGCTTCTGGTATTGAGCTTGTAAGAAGGACCAATTTTTTGTGGTAGTGTTAGTTTATGCTTCATATTCATAGAGGGAGACACCTGGGATAGCTTTTATGGCTGTCAACAAATTATACAGTGATGATATTTTCTGTTAGAGGTCACTCGTAAATGCATAACGATTAGTTTCTCTGCTGGTCTTATACCATGTAAGGAAGAAGATAGTCTGGACAAAAAATTGAGAGAATTCGTCAAAGCAGATGTATGCATTTGCGTCATTTATGTTCACGGGTCACTCTCTGCAATGCACTTCTATTACATTTTTTAACTAGGAACACTTGCATAAACTTCTATATATTACATGTTAGTCCAATCTATTTACACAATCTGTGACTAGTGCTTGATTCTCATTACATGAACCTTGATATTAACAATTTCAATGAGTGATGAAAGATATAGCTCCAGTTTCATGTTGAGTACATAGATTTTATAAAATATACCGGATAAGAATCAGCAACTGAAGGAGAAATAAGGTTTACTGAGTAAGCTTTTTCTGATTGTTTGATCTTTCTTTGCTTTTTGTATCATGTTCATAATGGGTTTATAACTATTTTAAGCTCATTTTAAGTAGATGTTTCTAAGCGATGAGATTGTAAATGCAGCAATTAAGCAGCGAATGGAAAAAGATGTTGACGAAGTTAGCAAAGTAGCCCGATTCATCAAATCAAAGATTGAGGGACTTGATAAAGAGGTGAGTAACATTAACTTTCATCTCTTAAGTCTGGTACTTGTGTGTTTCTTTTGGTTACAATATATTTTTCTTATATTGCAGAATCTGTCCAATAGAAGCAAACCAGGGTGTGGTAAAGGATCAGCTGTTGACAGATCAAGAACCGCAACAACAGTGTAATTTGGAGTGCTTACATCTCTTTTGTCTACTCCATATTTGTTTCTTTTTTGATATGGTCACACCTAGGTATTATTTTGACATTCGTGGGTGGGTATCTCTGAATAACTTCTTTAATGGATGCACAAATTGGCTGCTGGCACAAAACGATATATTAGGACATACAGTGCATATGTTTGAAGATAGGTCTAGTGTGTCTCCGTGCATTTGCTAGTATGACTGTATACTATTTTCTCTTGTCGTACGGTTATGGCATACTACTTAGACTCAAATTGCTCTATTACTACCTTTTACACAAATTGATGTTATTTCTATAGTTCTTCTAAGCAGCATATATTGTTGGTTTCTGCCTTGTTAAGATCGCATATCTGAATTATATGAACATCCTCTTCTGACTCGTAATACAAAAGTAATTACCAATTTATATGTTCATAAAGCACAAATATTAGTTTTTATATGCACATTTTCTAGAGGTTCCAAACATAGCCTTCCAATATGAGAGAGAGTCAAGCAAGCCTGAATCCATCCAATGAATGAATTGACGCTTACCTTAAAACATATGAAATTAGTATCTTCCAGTTTGTCATACTTACAAACTTACGAGTTTCAAAAAAATAAAAAATCTTAATGTGTCCAGAAAAATAAAGCAGAATAGATATGCCTTTTCTCAGGCTTCTCTTCTCTTACAACAATTCAGAATCTCTATTACTTGTCTTATAACACATGTGGTCAATGAGTGAACTCAGCCTGTAATCTTTGATTGCAGTTCCTTGAAAAAGAAACTCAAAGATAAAATGTCCGAATTTCAGGTATGCCAACTACCTTAATAATGGCTCTTCCTCTTCTGTTTTTTTCTTGCTTTTTAGGTTTAGGCGATAAGTGTTTTTACAGACACTACGAGAGAACATCCACAATGAATATCGTGAGGTTGTTGAAAGGCGTGTATATACAGGTATTAAGAACAACTGAATTTGAGATACTGCATCGATTACATAGAATTTTTATCCAATTGTAACTATTTGCTTTTGGTGTGTATTCAGTGACAGGCAATCGAGCTGATGAAGAGGTGATTATGTAGTGCTGTTGAATTCTTGAAAATGTCAGTTTTCTGTGTTCATGTTCCAACGTTTCACTTTGTTTTCTGCTTCATGCAGACAATTGATCGGTTGATAGAAACTGGGGACAGTGAGCAGATATTCCAGAAAGCTATCCGGGAACAAGGGCGAGGGCAGGTATGTTCCTGCTTGGCTGTTTGTGCTATCTTTTTGTGTCAGTAGCTTCACAGTGTCGTAGTAATAGTTCATGCTGTCTTGCTCAGTTGTTCATCCTATCCTTTTCGTTCAGTAGCTTCACAGTGGTGTCCTAGTAAGCTTCACATATGACAAAGGGTCATTATATCATGCTTTAACTTGCATTTTCCCAAATGCATTGGGTCATGGTGGTTTTACTTGTAAAGCTGACCAATTAGGTTTCTATTTAAACTTCCTGGTTTATTTATAGACTTATGGTCAACAGGACTATCTAATGCTGTTTGAATTCTGTTCTTTTACTATAATTAGATATTTAAGTAGGGTTTTCATGAATACTACCTTGAGGGACCTGATATTCTCTCTGTCCCCACCAATTATTACCATGTCAGCAGTTTATTGATACAGGAATAGACCATCTTTGCACAGGTTTAGCGAGAAGGAAAAAGGTTGAGCTGATCGGTAGATATGACTAAGGAATAAAATTGTTTGGTTGTAACAGAATCAATAGCTTCTCGACTGAAGCCTCTTGCCGCTAAGTTAAGCAGCCGTAATATTTTCGTACCAATCATGTATTCATATAAATCATATTTACCATCATATTCTGACATATAATTCTCACACTGCTGGTGCCTTATGTTCTCTATTCCATTTATATTTTGGCCTCTCGAATTCAATTCCGCCATCTCTCTCTGTGAAAACAAAAGAGAAGAAATTGGTTCATTCTCATTTGACGTAACTATCATAAAGTAATAGACACTCATCCAAAAAGGTTAAAAGATAGAATGCATGATTTGACTCGGTAGAACAAGAAACCGAGGAATGGATTTCCAAATTGTTGTAGCATCTTTTACTCTCAATCCTTTCACGAAATTTCTGAGCCGGATGATTTGCCTAGCGGATTAAGGTCTCTTTAAAACTCAGGCCCAGCGCCATGCGCTTGAAGTAGTATAACAGCAGTTTACTGATTAATAACAGTCAGCAGATTACCGATTAAAAACAGTTACAGCAGATTACTGATTAAAAACAGTAATGTAACATGTCATACTCGAATAATGTTTTCTCCTACATATGTATATGTTATACTGTTGCTGGGCAAAATATGTAGGGTTAGAGAGTTAGGCAATTAATTTGAACTACAGGGGCGGATATCAGTGAGAGGGAGTTATTTGGTTGGTCATTGATGATATTTCAAAATATAGCGTTATTTTGGTAATAAATCACATTTTGGCCACCAGTCTTTCACACAGTCAATAGTAACTGTAAGCAGTTTCTCGACCTTTCTGGAGGTTTTCTTTCGTTTTCCCTCCTCATTTTTCTTCTGAATAAAGTTATGCAAACTTTGGCCTTCTCCCTCTGGCTCTGTTATATTAGTTTCACTAACCACGGCACTAATTTGGCAATTGAATTATAGTAATTAGTTCCGTTACCACTTATCTATGTTACTTTTTTGCAGATAATGGATACGCTTGCGGAAATTCAAGAGCGCCATGATGCAGTCAGAGAGCTAGAAAGGAAACTTCTTGAGTTGCAGCAGGTATAACACGTATCCCTATGATGAGGGACAAAATAACAGCAAAAATTGCTCACAGATTCCTAATTGTCAACTAAGTGGGGGAGGAGGGAAACAAGCAATGCAGAAAAATAGAAGAAGAATTGGATTATATTCTTGTTCTGTTCTGTTAAATATATAATTAAATAAATAAAAATATTCCATCTAAAAATGACGTAAATTATTGAATGAGATGTCACAATTCAACTTGGTTTCAGAATAGATGGAGGTCCTAGCTTAAGTCTCACCGCAACTCATTGTTGTTAGGAAATTCCTCAAATTCAACCTGTAGGTGAAGGGTGCATGCTGAAGATATAATTAAGTAAATAAAAGTTTGTGTGTGTGTATATATATATAGATATATATAACACAAGCATACCAAAGATATAAGTAAGCAAATAAAAGAGTGTCTCTCTTTATAATTCTATATGTTTAATTTATATCTTCTTATATGGACTAAACATGAGCACAGAGTGCTGAATGCTGATGATATGGTCTCTCTCATTCTAAGCTTATGTTTCCGAGATCATCTATGTTCTAGATAATGTCAGGTTGTTACAAACATACACTCGATAAAATAATAACTGAAATGACGGAGTTTATAAAAATTTCTCCTTTTTCTAATGGAAGGTGACAGACATTGTGAGAAGTCATGCTGCCATTATGGAATTAGTTCCTGACAAAAAAAGAAGAAAAACAGGCTATGATATCTGGTTTTAAATTGATTACAATCTTTGATGCAGATATTCTTGGACATGGCAGTGTTAGTTGATGCTCAAGGGGACATGCTTGATAATATAGAATCACAGGTAATTTCATTATCTGTGTGACCCCTATGCTGATATGGGTACTTTCTATTTTCTTTTGTCTTGCATTTTTTTTTGTGTCTATCATTATGTTTCATTTCCTCATTGTTTGACATGCCAATTGAAATTAATCACCTACCTCTAGCCTGGTACCTTTTCTTCCTCTTTCCTCTTTCCTCTTATGCATAATTAAATATTCGCCATCTTTATATTTTATTTCCCCATTGCTTGATAATCCAATTGAAATTCATTATATTTGTATGAATCCGACCCTCATACCTATTACCTACACCTTTTTTAAATTTTTTTTTTGTTGGGAAATATTCCGTGTTTATATTTTGTTGTTAAAAGGTTCAAATATGCGATCTTATTGAGAAAAAAATTATTTGTGCCACCCCACTAAATGTTGGGCTCAATCATGCGATTACTGTTACAAAAAGGGTCCTTTCGTGCTATTATTTTTTAGCGGTTAGATTTGATAGTTCTGTAAAACTATTTTTTCCACGTCGGCTCTTATTAGAGGTCCACATCACCAGAATTAAAATGGTCAAAAAAAGTTCAAATATGCAATTGAACTTTGAGAAAAAAGATTAATCTACACCATTCGTTAATAACATTGGTTTCAACCATGCCACCATCATTACAGAATGAGCCCATTCGTTCTACTTTTTGACAGTCAGGTTTGATGGTTTTACAAAATTGTTTTTTATTTGATCTGGCCCATTTCCCTTTTATTTCTCCTAAGATCCTTAGATTGACAATTGACAAGAAACTGCCAGAGGAATTCATCATTATACATTGGTACAAAAAAAAAGTGGGATCAATGGAACTCCATACAGGAAGAAAATAAACAAGAAAAAAAAACTTACGTTCGCTAATGAAGAAGTGATGTAATCAAGAAAAATGGGGTTCTATTTTTGAATAGTGAGAGAAGAGTGATGGAGCTTTGTGTTAAGAAATTGTAAGATTAGGGCTTTTAAGCATTAATTTTTGAAGCTTCTGTAAGGGAGTCAAACATTAAAAAAGGAGAAGTTTTCGATCTAATGGGTTTGGGGGAGAAATAAAAGGAAAATGGGTAAGGGTGGGTGGGTGATCACCCCCAAAACTTGTCCTATAAAGGATAAGCGGTTGTTGCAAATATAATCTAGCTTTCTTTGTGACGGGAGTCGACCCCCCAAAGACTTATCAAAGCTTTCTTTTGTATCGCTAAGAATAATTTAGAAATCAATTTCTCAAGGTTTAATATTTTGATTCTTTTCATTATGAATTCAAATAAGAACTAAGACAAATATATATAATTAAACACGTAAGAAATGTATGCTTTTCTTTTAGAGGAAACAACCTAAGATGATGCTTTCACCGACTATCGGAATAACTTAGAATATGCACGTTATAATCTTGTCGAGTTTTTCTCTATCGACCATGAACTTTTAGTCACTATAATTGTTTCTCAGCATATAATAGGGATTTTCTAGAGCTATTCTCTCGAATGAACTCTAGCTAACCAATTGCTCTATTCAGATAGATCGCACCAAAGTTCTGTTATCTCTAACTTCCACTTTTAAATCTCAGTCATTAATCTCTTAATAACTCGAAGTGTTGTTGTTCAACTTGAAACCTAACCTCAGTCTCTCTATAGAATATAAAATACCACAACATTATTAATCAAGGGCCCTTCAATTGGCTACAATAAAATATAGTTAAACAAATAGAGATAAAGTAAAACGTCTTGATTATAGTAAAACAAAATCACTAGTTCATCGTATGATGGGTTCCATCAATCATCCTGGAAAATAATCTAGCTACTCATAGTAGAGTTTAAGAACATAGCATAGATTGACATAACGAAAAAGTCAAAGAGTAGAAGAGAATGAAACAATATGTTGAATTCCAAGTTATCAGCTATTCTCCTTGTCCTTGCCTCTCAAAAGTTGCGTAACACCTTGAATATCAAGTTAAATACACTATTTATACTGCATATATTTAATCTGTGGACGGGAATAACCTTCGGCCAAAATAATTAGATCCTGTCACATTTTTTGTTGTATGCTCCGTGGGCCAAATAGCATCGCCGCTCCGCACGTGGCCAATGTTCAGGAGCTACATTTGTTTGCTCTTCAAAGTCCGTTTCTACTAGCAGAGCGGGCATGGTAGCCTGGTCAATCAGTGCATGCCAAAGTTCAGGAGTTGCATTTGTTTGCTATTGAATATTCCTTTTCAACTAGCGCGGAGTGGGCTTGGTAGCGTGGCATCTCCGCGCATGGTCAATTGTTGTGTCTTCAACTTTTTCTTCATTTTTTAAAGCCCTTTATCTCAATGACTCTCGGATGCGATCTTAATCATTCCAGTGGACTTCCATTTAGACTTTGAAGGCCCATAACAAATCTATATTTGTTCCAAATATGCCTATTAGCTCGGACAAATCTCCTATCCAAAGAAACACATGTAAGAAGCACATAACAATAATAATTATGATCAAGTGAAGGCATAAGAAAGCATATTAGACCTTTACAATGATTAAATGTACGTATTATATGCCGAATATTAGTCGAGAATGGTGTTAATGAATTGGATTTTAATTCCGAATTTAACTGCAGTGGCATGGTTGAATCTAACTATTAACGAATGACATTAATGAACCTTTTTTTTCAAAGTTGGATGTCATATTTGAATTTTTTCATACCAGTTTAATTTAGTGACACTTTGACGTGGACCTCTAATAAGAGGCCATGGGGAAAAACTGGTTTTGCAAAACTACAAAACCTGAGTTGAAAAATAATGGCAGGAATAAACCCTTTTTATGATGGCAGTGTCATGATTGACTCCAATTATTAATTGAGGACATAAATAGGGCTTTCTCAAAGTTTGATGATATATTTGAGTTCTTTTTCCTATTTTCTTTCATCATTGATTGAAGATCCAATTTTCAGGTTTCAGCTGCAGTTGACCATGTGCAATCAGGGAATACTGCTCTACAAAAGGCAAAGAGTTTACAAAGGAATTCAAGAAAATGGATGTGCATTGCCATCATCATTCTTCTGATAATCGTTGCAGTCATAGTTGTTGGCGTGCTCAAGCCATGGAATAGCAACAAGGGTGCTTGAATTTTTCACCCTGATAAAGCGATGTACAAAATACTACTGCAAGTTACTGAGTTCTATCTCTGCAAACACTTGGTCAATTACAGCCTTAGTTATTTTCTTGTGGAACCTAAAATTGTCTACCTCAAACTTTAAGTTTGAACTGTCACTGAGATGTATTATTTTAATTATTTACAAACCCGTTTCTTTTTCTTTTTTGGGGTTAGTGTAACGTCAGTGCATAACTCATTTCACTGTAGCTAAGATATGTTGCATGTTGGTTGAACTGTTCTACCAGTGGCATGGCAAGTGATTGTGTTTTCTTTTGGTTGTGATGATCACAGAGCAAACACCAACAAAATACGATATTCGTGGTATGGTCTTTTATGTCAAATTAGTTCGGTCTATTGTTTACAATATTTGTTCTATTCCAGATAGTCAATGGGTCTAATTTTTGGCTCCTATTTTGCAGTGGTCTTTAATTTTTATCCTCAAATATATTTCTTCATTTTTCTACTACTGCCCATTTAATATAATTTGTGGAGCAAAGTACCTCGTCTATGTACTAATTTTGCTCAGTATATGTTTAGAAAAGTTTTGCTTTGTCCGACTAAGTATTGTAGGAATTGATTTATTTGACCCAAGTTGTGTAGCATCTAAATCATTCGGCTTATCCCTCTTACAACATAACTTATGGGTTTTGAAATTGAACTTTTTATCTCATTCGACATAAGTTTTGTAGGAACTAAGGTATGTATCTTATGGCATAATTTTAACCTGTGGTTTTCAAAACTGGATTTTGCCTCTCTCTACAAATATTCTGTAGAATTAAGTTATGTATTCTACAACATCACTTTTGGGTTTTGAACTAAGCTTTTGCCTTGATCTGTAGGAATCAAGTTATGCCTCTTCCAATGTAACTTTTGGATTCTAAAGTTGAACTTTCGCCTCGCTCGACTTAAATTTTGTAGGAATTAAGTTATATCTTTTTCATGACATAGCTTGTGGTCGAAGCCTTGTCAATCATTAAGGGGTCGTTGAATGTTATTTTGGAACAATTTGTCTTAAACACAAAATCACGCAAAAGATCATACAATACAACTGAAAGGAAAAACTATGTAACATGGTAAATATATGTTATTAGTAGGATTCTTTACTTGAATAATATATTTTGTCTGACTTACGCTTTTAAGTGTTAATTTATTTTTATTACCATATATGACATAGATTTTGGCTTTAATAATCATTTGATATGAATCTGTATTGAAGTTGTATACATATAAACGATAGTTAATTCGTATTTCTTAGTGTATATTACCATAACTTCGATAGTTATTATTCCAGAACAAATATAATACATTTCTAGCTATGTAAACTAATTTAAATACTATCGAAATGTTTAAAATTCACATATAATACATACAATATATTTGTATTAAAAATGTTTTAGTTATATATTCACCACATGCATTAAAACATGTGTATACCCTTCTCTAATTGAGGGTATAGTAGTACTTCGAAGAGGGTTACACGAGGTATACCCTTCTCAAATTGAGGTTTTGTGTCAGATCCAGGGGTACACCCTAAATGTAACATGACGTATAAGACCTCCATGGACCCCATACAAGCCACATAGTATTCATAACATAAGAAATAGAACATAAGAGATTAAAACACATTTCAAGTCCTATAGTTTTATAATAGAAAGATGGAAGTCTAAAACACTTGTCTCAAAAGCCATCTAATGCAATAGAATGAAATTGGGCCTAGCCCATGCATCATGTCCAAAATTAATACACAAGATAGAAACTAAGGAATGGAAATTCGTCTTCAAACCATGAGGACTCACCAAACTCAGGAATCAACCAAACTAAGCTCTAGCCACGAAATTAGAACCCTGAATATTAGACCCTGCATTTGAGATGTGTGTTAGTACAAAACAATGTATCAAGTATGATAGTCATGCATAAAACGTTTAAATCATGCGAAAAAGAGGACATTTCATGACATGCAATTGACCAAGCTAAAACATGATATAAAAGGGTTATAAAACATAATTCATAAAACATGCTCAATGCAAGCTAACATCTTTAAAATACTTGAACTCATGTGAGATAATTCTCGAAAGTAACCTTAGTTCATTATTAGTGTGAAAATTAGCCTTAACTGACATAGAGACCATCTAAGCTATAATATGATCCCCCAGTTTCTCCCACACCAAAAAAAGTTTATCCTACTTTCCATGGTAATGATCATGAACTTGTAGCTTAAGTGGATCCACTAGCTACTGTCTATTTAGATAATCATCTCATGGAGGCACATAGATAAGGGATAAAAATATTGATACTAGAAACCCGACCTCTACTAACGGGAGAACCTCCATCTCAATATCTTCGGTTCTAAGCATAAATCACACGGAACAATCATTTCTTACTTGTTCTAATTATCCATGGAAGGGCACATAATTTTGCCAATCCAAGCTAAATCATCATCCATGGAAAGGTACAACTAAGTATTTAATCCAAGCTAGGTTTCATTAGGATAACTCTTTATCATTGATTCAATTAGGTGAGAAGACCTTTCAATCTTAAAATCATTACTGTGTGTGAGAAAACATTTCACATGCTTTCATGTGTTTATGATAAAATCCTTTCATAACACAACATTTACATCATCATTGAAACGTCACTCTCAAAGCATCGTTAAAACATTTTCATAACTTTCATAAGAACATGCATAGTTCCATAATTTACCTTTCAAAGTTCAAAATGCACTTTCAACCATCAACATTTAGAAAACATGGGTTAGCTATTGATTTCATGATAGATTCATGTAATTCTCTCAATAAATGCTTATTTTCATAAAACTCTTCCTTATTAATCAAAAGCCCACAACATATTATCATAACTTCAAAACGTGGGGATTACATGAGTCCTAGGGTAAAACATCATGAACCCATAGTATTTCATCAATTCATGCATAAGACACTATAATTTAATCATTTAAGGCAATAATCAAAAGAACTCATGGCAAATAAATATAACCCCAACTCAATTGGGGAAATCTAGGTTTGAAATAGAAGGATTTGGGAACTCCATGAATAGAAGAAATCCATGGATGAAAAATATCATACCTCAAACCCAAATGCTTATCTTCAGTGAAGGAATTGAGACTTTGGCTTGAAACCCTAGTTGAATCGTTCTCCTTCTTCTTCAAGTTTCTTTTTGGTGAGTTTAGAAAGAATGATTTCTAATGGAATTTTTTTGGGTAAAATGCTTATGTATGGGTCTTATACATGGCAAAATGACAAAGTATAGAAGTAAATTAATTAGGAAAAAACCCAATTACCTCTGAACTTAAATACCAGCTCTCGACCACCAATCGATAGACCGTAGACTGTCCGATTGTTCGTTGATGGTGGTCAGGATGTGAATTTGGGGGTCTTGGACCATGACCTAAACCACAAACCCTAGTCCTACAAATGGCTGTTTTTTTGGGTTGTAGTTCAAACTATTTGAACCCCTTTTTGGGTGCCCTTTCACGGACCACACCTACAGTCCCTGGTCCCATCCATGGCCGTGGGTGGGCCTTATGGCTTACATCTGCAATTTCCCAAAATTTGGTTTATTTTTTTTCAAATACGGGATGTTACATTTTGTTATTGTAATTTCAATCAAAATGTCAATGATTCACAATAAATCCAAACCGATGAATCTACCTAATCAAGAGTAAGGAATCATATCTATCAAGAGAAAAGTGTCACGCCATGAGGATACCTCCTAGACATGAACACGGGATCTAGGATCACAATTTTCCCCAAGCTAACCCTGAGTTGACATATCATAAGAAAATTGAACATATCTATGGAAAACTGAACTAATGCAGAAGCTAAAACATGAGAAAATCTAAATGTGGGGAATACCCAATACTGATCTGATTATAAATAATATGATAAATCTTAGTGATACTAAATAATCACTCAAAACTGAAGTTGAATCTAAACTATGTCTAAGAAAGCCTCTAACTGACTAGAGTTACTAGGACATGCCTGATGTACCGTGGTATTACAGTACTTTCAATGTCTTCTCCTTAAGTTTAGTGTGTGTCTAAAGCCTTTTTGTATTGATTTTTTGATGTAGGTTTCTCTTTATTGACAGGAAATCTGTCCAAAGGAGAATGCGGAGGATTTGAGTAGAAATTGCAAAAGTGACCACCTACGGAGCCCACGACAGTCCGTTGTGACAGTTACGGTTCGTAGGTGGCATCGTAGTGAGAAGAAAATGGATGCTGAAGGAAGTTGGGAAAGTTTGACCAAGTGTGGGACTACGGAACCTCATGACGGACCGTCATAGCCATGACGATCTGTCCTGCATATTCATCGTGGTTGTCAGAGAGTAGTTCTAATACCCAATTTCAAGAAGTTTCTAAGTGTTATGGAATGGAACCCCTCGATGGACCGTCGTGCTTGCAAGAATCCGTCATATCTGCCTGTCAAGGGTAACAGAAAGTTAATGAAGAAAGCATCAGAAAATTATGCCAAGTATGGAATGACGGAGTCCATGACGGTCCGTCGCAGGGATTGTAGATTCAGACGCGTTTTGGACAAATTTGCCTTAAATAGAGTCCTTCTGTATCAGGTTTTATTTTATTATAAATAGTTCGAAAAACCTCGTTTTTGGGGTTAGACTTTTGGATATTTTTTAGTTCTGCTGTTTAAGTATTGAACTCTTGATTTTGGTATTTGATCATCCTTTTTCGGAATCAATTGTTGGTGTTTTTGTGAATTATTCAAGTGAATTTCTGGATTTTCTTCATTCTCATAAAAGTAAGTGCATGAATTCTTAGTTATCAATATGAATTGTGTGACTATTAGCATGGGTAACTAAACTCCATATCTAGGGTTGTGGGAACCATGGGTAAACAAGAAGGTAAAATCTAGCTAAAACAATTCTAGAATAGTGTCTTGCATGTATTACTAATTCTTTCTCTTAGAAGTCTTTTTAACGGATGACCAACGTTAGAACTCACCTTATTTCTACTTGCCAGAGAAAGGAGGTAGATAATAGGAAAAGAATTATCAACGTAGATTTAGTGTATACTATCTAATAGGCTAGTGTTAATTGGTACGAAGTTACAACTTAGTAAAATATCAAATATGATGCTTAATATGAGGTAAAGATGAAGCAACACACGTAGTCGGACCAAGGTGCCGAGTGAAATTCTCTAGATGCCGGACCAAAGATTTTGAGATACTTAGCTTATCACTTTCCATGCAAGATACTAGGTAAGGATTTTTATAGCTAGAATTACTGAGTTAAGAGCTTGTGGGGAACACTTACGCCCTAGTTACTCTCCTTATTTTATTAAACTCCAATACTTGAACCTGTCACTTGTTTACTTTAATTTAGCTAATT